TTGATTGATTGATTGATTGATTGATTGATTGATTGATTTGATTTGATTTGATTTGATTTGATTTGATTTGATTTGATTTGATTTGATTTGATTTTATTTGATTTGATTTTTACCCTGCCCCTAGACAACGTCTACTCGGGGCGGCTTTGTATCTCTCTGTCTAGTTGTCTGCGGTGACTGAACTGCTTTCTTTTACTTTTGTTTATTAAAAAAAAGATCTGGAGGGTGTGTGTCTCTCTGTCTAGTTATCTGCGGTGACTGAACTGCTTTCTATCTTTTACTTTTGTTTGTTAAAAAAAAAGATCTGGAGGGCACCAATCAAAGACAACGTCTACTCGGGGCGGCTTTGTATCTCTCTGTCTAGTTGTCTGCGGTGACTGAACTGCTTTCTTTTACTTTTGTTTATTAAAAAAAAGATCTGGAGGGTGTGTGTCTCTCTGTCTAGTTATCTGCGGTGACTGAACTGCTTTCTATCTTTTACTTTTGTTTGTTAAAAAAAAAGATCTGGAGGGCACCAATCAATTTATAAGAGATCAACAAGGAACATTCCCATCTTAATACAAGGGAGGAAACACCCCTGTATATTCAAATCCTAACAAAATACAATCTTAATAGAAGAACACATTTTAAATTAGTGTTGCAAATCAATTGTAGTATGTCCATTGATTTCTTTCATTTATCCAGGCAACTGGTGGTTGCAGCTCCCACCAGCCCCATCCAGCGGCACCAGTAGTAAGGGACGATGCAGGTCGCACTCTCAAAACAACACCCACCTCTAAATTTGTCAGTAAGTTGTCAACACCAATATAAGATGAAAGCACATCCTGTACTGGGAACCATCACAAAAGGAGATTTCCCTGTAGCCATGAGAAATTGGTGCACACAATACTAAATTAGTAACAGATAGCTTGGCAAGAACAGAATAGACCTAGAGCTCAGAAAGTTATATTTTTGAGCTATATTCTCATGTTATGTAGGAGCCATATTGGCTGAGGGAATTCTGGAAAATAAAGCTTTGAAAGCTCAGTGGTTTATGTATTTGGCTGCAGAGCCAGAGGTCGGGAGTTCAATTCCCCACTGGGCCTCCTAGGAAAAAAGCCAGCCTGTGTGGCCTTGTGCAAACTGTACAGTTCAAGGACGCCCCCAGAAGAACAGCCTTTGTGGCCTTGTTCAAACTGTACAGTTCAAGGACGCCCCCAGAAGAAAGGAATGGTAAACTATTTCTAAGTACTCTCTACGTAGAAAACCCTGGAAAGGGTCACTGTAAGTTAGAATTGACTTGATGGCACACAATTATTATTTAAAGATTTGAAAAAAAAAAACATCTCCAAGCTCTGACAAAAAGAAATTGAAATTTTCAGAGGACAAAATCACAATACAAAATCAATGCACTACAAATATCGCAGTATGATTAGACTGTTCATTTTGTAAAATCAGATGTTTTTGAAATGCCCTATGAAACAGGAAGGAGATTTCGGAGGTACAAAAGATTTATCTTGCAAACAAATCTTTAGGGACTAAATGGAACATTGTAACCACAGTGCTACGTATATGTTTAAAGACAAACCAATCCCAGTCATGGGGGAAGGGATTTGATTTAAAGGAGATATATGAACAAAGATTAGCAAATCCTTACTACACTAGGGACACACACACACACCATTAAATACTTATCACTCAGTTGCAGTCACTTCTGGCAAAAAAGCTTAAATTGAGAAGAGCTGCATGAAAGCTGCTACATCCACCTCTGTTAAAACCAGGCAATCCCCCAAATTAGAATTTTCAGATTTGCTATGTGATTCTACTTCCAGACTGGGTTTTCTTGCAGCGAAGAGCTGAAGAGGAGACATCTGACTTCTGTATCACCAGTAAGACCAAACAAGTTCCAAGACAAGGATTCTAGAGCATTGCTCTGAATGATAGCAGGTATCCTTGGGTGCAGCTGGGGATACCTTGCAATGAAAGCTTTCCCCTCACAATGATGTACACTCAGCAGCAGTACTGGGTCAAAGCACAGATGAAATCTGTACCACTTAGAAATGGTATCTCATTTTCCTTGACTAGTTAAATTCAGATTTTCTTTGATGAATTTGTAGCATTCCCTCTGGGAAGTAAGCCCCACTGAGATCAATGAAACCTTTTCTTAGGGAAGATTGCATAGGATTGCAGCTGCAGTTAGTTTGCATCTTAAAGAATTGCTAATGTATCTAGATTTGTACTATAGTAACATCAAAACAAGCCACCTCTTGTTTCCTCAGAAGTTTAAGTGGGTAACCTTAATGAAACTGGAAGGAACTATCTGATGTTTAGTTGAGGTTTTTCTTCAGAGAACCTAGTTCTGTTTTAAATGAAGGGTGCATAGCAGTTCTGTTTTAAGTGAAGAAGATCTTTTTCTATTAATAGCCAGAAGTTTCCTGGAAAATTTTCATCAATTCAAAATCATACTGTAGTCTTAACATTGTTTAATGTAGCATATAAGTATAATAAATAAATAAATAAATAATTTAAGATATTTTATTGTACCTTTTAAGCCTATGATCTCCTGAATTTTAAGAATGTAACTGGAACATTCTTTGTGGTATTTTTATTGTACCTTTTATGCTTCTGTGTTTTGGATTGAATTCTGACTTAAGTATTCGCCTGCAACTTACTTATACCACTTTTGGATTTTATAACTCAGAAGCAATGTAGATAAATAAAATTTGTAGAATTTGACAAGTTCATGTTGCCTGGAATCATTGTAAAAATGAAAAGATTATACCTAGATACCCAGATGAAGTTTGATATGATTGGAAATGGTTTTATGGTTTCATTCTGGAATTACCCCTTTTCTTTGGATAAATGCCAGCTATGGTGAACACAGGCTTCTGATTTTTTTCCCCTAGAGTTCTGTAGGGCTCTTGGGAGGATGTTCAGGCATCATACTCCCCGATCTGGCAGCTGTCCTCAAATTGGAACCTTCAAGTATGTTAGGGCTCTTAGGAGGATGTTCAGGCATCATACTCCCCCCGATGTGACAGCTGTCCTCGAATTGGAACCTTCAAGTATGCTGGACTACAATTTAGATCATTTCGAGATAGCATGGCCACTATCATGCTGCTTGAGAACCATAGCATAATGGCCTTGTAGTCAACATACCTAGGTTTTTTAGTTGAAATCAAATATGCCTGGATTTGGGGAGAGTGACTATAGAATTTTCTAAATAAACCAAGTATCAAGCAGATTGCACTATGATATTAAAAATTACAATTAAAAGTGCAGGAAGATTGATCTGTTCAAACTACTAACATCTGCAGTATTCAAATTCAGACCCTGAAATATCAGATTGTAATTTGGTTTGTTATCTTGCCAAGGTAAGACTGCAGGTGTGCTAGTTTCTCCACTGTGTCTGTAGATAAAGGTTGTATTTCCTGGTTGGTACTCAAGACCACCACTGTAGTTTTTGATGCATATGAGGAGCAGTTTGATCTCTTCTTGCTGTTATCACCTTCATGGCTCCATTTGTGTTCAAAACAAAAAAAAGATGCCTACAGAATTCTACTACTGTTGACTTAGTAAGATGAGCTTAGAAAAATAATATGCGACTCCTGTATATAGATTTGCTTCTCTTTAATTTCAGTGTTGAAATTTACAGTGGTTTCTGATACAGATTAGTTGTCCTCTGCACACCCCTGTAGGTGGTTCAGGGAGGACAAATTCACACTTCATACAAAAGTTAAAGTTTACAATTTTTTTGGCAATTAATATGAGTAACCCGTTTTCTCCTATTGCCATTGCCCAACCATTCAAAAAAAATTATACAGCAATTTACATTGAAATGTTTTCCCCCCAAAGTGCTTAATAGACTATCCACAGGAAGATTTACAAGTGGGCCTGTACAATTATTTACAGGTAGTAATTCTGTAGCACTTTTTATTTCAGTATGGCTTTTTGGAAAGTGCTTTTTACATGGCCAGTGGTGGCAATAGTTATGTTGTTAAAGGGTAACAGGTAACCAATAACTATAAAAAGCTGTATTTGTAGATGTTTGCTGTTTACAACTTTGTATGAAAATGGTTTTGTGAACTTGTTCCCCATGTATCTTCATTCTTCCATGATGGGAAGGAATTTGTTCAGCCACTGGTCTGGCTACCATCCAAAAAGTGTAGAACACAGGGAGGCTTGAGGAGAGTCACCAGAATATTCATGATAAATCATCATCTGTGCTTACAACCGATATCTGTTTAGAGAACAGAAAAATTAGCTGTCTAATCCAGCTCATATTTTATTATGGAGTTCTACCTTGACAGAGCTTCTCACTCAATAGAAGGAAGTTGTGGCCATCAAGTTTACCTCAGAAGATAAACAATGTTTATCCCATTTCACTTTCTCTGCAGAACATACCTCACTAGAAAATAAATACTCAAGTTTATATTTGCATTAATAATGCAGAAGCTATTGTTAACTTCAAGTATGTCTTCATCCCTTGCGCTCAAGGGGCTTTGGGATTCCCCTCCAGGTTTTTTGTTTGTTTGTTTTTTTGGTCTAAAGCTCCCACTAGCCCTAGACAGCAGAGCCAATCTGGAGGATTCTAGAAGCTGCAGAGCTTGTTACACATTTGTCTCCTAATCCATGATCCTGATTTAAAACATGCAAGTACAAAAAAATTTATTAATGCTAGAGCTCAACTGACTTCGTTTAGAACAGTGGTTCTTAACCTTGGGTTACTCAGGTGTTTTTGAACTGCAACTGCCAGAAACCCCAGCCAGCACAGCTGGTGGTGAAGGCTTCTGGGAGCTGCAGTCCAAAAACACCAGAGTAACCCAAGGTTAAGAACCACTGTTTTAGAAGGTAGCTGTAACCATGAGATTACTTACTGCTGGATAAGTATGCCCCACTGAACTGCTGTGTCTTCCAATGTCTATAGCAAGGTCTTCTTCTGTTGTTTTCAAGTACACTGGATTGTCAAAATTCATGCTTTTCATGTTTTTGTGTTGCCAGTTACGCCACATGAAGTAGCCTCCTGCTGCAGCTGTTGCCAACAATACTAGAAGAAATTGTGAAATTACTCAGTTGCTGTATCTTAACTCATATGAATAATTTTCTGTAGAACAGGTTCACTGTATATTTTTTTTCACCTACATAATTTAACCAGGAAATAAAGAAGGTACACCGGGCATACTGTCTTGAACTGAAAACAAATTATTTTTTTACACTTACGAACAGGAAGAATAGCCCATGCTGCTGAAGAACTTCGAGAAGAAGCCAGCTCTTCTGTCACTGGACTACTCTGATTTTGTCCTAGAGGAAGAAAGCTGTAGTTTAAAATCCTTTTTTATTTATACTTGATATCTGGAGTATGCCTTCATCTAGTAAAACTGATGTACTCTAGAGAAGGCAGGAAGTGGACAAGATTGAAAATCAGCTATCAATTTGCTGCTCAAGATTGCAAGCATGACATGACCTACACTTGTGGAACTTTATCCAATGTGCTATGATAGGTCAGCTTCATCACTTCACAGGTGCAGCAGTATTTTAGTAGTATCAGAAGGCAAGATTTGCCGGGACAGGTGCAGCAGTATTTTAGTAGTATCAGGAGAAGGCAAGATTTGCCGGAAAAAAACCAATAATGCCAGTGGAAAGCAATAGAAAAAAGGAACACCCTAATGTAAGATAGGCCAATTTAATAAAGGAAGCCATGGCCTTTTAGTCTGTAAGTTCTGAACAGGGCTATTAATGATGGGATATCCTGAAGGTCACTGATTCATAGGGTTGCTGTAAATCAGAAGCAGCTTGACAGTATGTAACAAAGTAAGTACCACAACCACCTTGTTTCTGCTCCCAGCTTTTGAGAATAGGGCAGCTATGCCCTCCTCTTGACAAACCATGATCATCCATGCCTTCTCCTCAGAATGCTGTGATGTTCCACTGGGTTGCCTTGGAAGACAGCGTAGTATAGGTAATTACAATGTGACCTGCCAATTAAAATCATGGGAGCCCTATCGAGGATTATCTGAGGCTTTTGATCTGCACTGATTACTTATTTGTTTCTGGATCTGAAGTGTTTGTGGACCTAACTCCTAAAGGTCCTGGAACAGGAATACCTGAAGAACTGCCTCAGATAAAATAGCCAAAGAGATAATCCACCTATACTTTCTCTCTTTTGCCATTGGAAGACTAACAGATGGAAACAAGTGGCACAGCCTTTTATGTGATGCTACCATTCTAGACATTGGAACATTTTGTCCAGGGAATTCTGTCTTGACTCATCTGGTGCCAACTTATCAATAGGCAGCAGTGACCTCTCTCTCTCTCTCTATCCACAAAAGTTGATATCTATCTTTGTAACTTCATTTTCATGATGCTTTTATTTTGCTATGATTTCCATAGAAGTTTAAGAAAATGTCCGTTGCTATGGATATTTTAAACGGAAAATAAAATTCACTACAACCCTTACAAACTTTGATAACCTTGTCAAGTCCTCCTAACAACACACTCTTGCTTAGGAACGCAAGCACTTTGCCCACCATTCCTCAAAACAATTCCAACTTTCAGGGTCTGGGAGAGAAGACCCATACCCGCTCCTGCTTTAGACATCTGAACTTTTTGTATTAACTTAACCAGCTACACCACCAAACACATTGCACTGCCTTGCATTAGGACCAATACCTCCAGAAAGTGGTCCAGGTGGTTTTTCTGTTTTGATGTTCTCTTTTGCCTCAGTGTAATCCACATCAGTTCCTGTACCTGAAATTATAGATCAATAACCTTGAAGCTCTGGATTAACTGGGATATTGCTTTGTGGTACACTCATGGTAGATGAGCATGATCATGCATATCTAGTTAGCTTTGGATTACAAGATGTTAGATCCACTGTGCTATGAAGCAGCAGCCATCAGTTAAGGAGGTTGTTAGATGGCTAGAAGACATTCAGGTTTCAGACTTGCAGCCCATTGCCCCTTAACTGCTTTCATATTTTAAATAAAGCCAAGTTATTAGCCGTTTTCCAAAATAAAAGGCTGAAGATGGGATGCAAATATACTCAGGGGCTCCATCAAGTAGTGGGATGCATAACAATTATGCTAAGAATCAAGCTATGCAGCTACCACTACAGCACAGAATATTAGAGTGCTAAGTACACCTTTAGAGATGCCACAGGATATTTATGTATTACTGCACTTTTGTGTTCATGCTAGTTACCATCTAGAATGACAGAATTCAAGGCTTTCAACTAGAACTTTTGATTACTTCCTGTAGATCAGGATTAGTGTTCAACTGCAGACGAGGGCATGAAGCATTTGTCCAACGTCACCTAGCAAGTTCATGGCAGAGGTGGTATTTTATTATTGCTCACATCAGTTTACATCACAGTAAATGAGTAGTTCAGGTTGAATGTACATCTAGTACAGCAAACAATATCCATGAGTATGCAAAAGCCAGGCAATCAGAATGCTGATTAATGGACAAACCTGAATAAATCTGCAAATGTTTTCTGCATGGGATGGAAAGGAATATATTTTGAAGCTTCTTTTCAACACAACTTGGAAAAGTGCATGATCATACCTCTGCATGTTAAGCCGTTATCTTGCAGTGTGTCTCCATCAGGGCATGCACAAGTATACTTTGGAGAATGGTCATTTATTTGAGGAGCTGGCAGACAGAGATATCCACAGCCTCCATTTACCATGTTCTCTTCTTCACACCAGTTCTTTCCTGTGGGTGGGAGTTTTTCAAACATATTAGCTAATATTGGGAATTTCATTCAAGCCAGACAAGGCTATGTGGTCAATCTGAAATACCTAACTAATCTGATTTGCTACCAATAGTATCCTCCATGTATGCTTGGCTTCCCATGTTAATATTTTTTTAAAGATTTTCATAAGGACCTCTTCCCAGGGTAGGCACTGGCCAGCAAAAGGCTTCCCCACCTTTCTAGTATAGGATGCCACTTATTTGCAATTATTTACAATCTACCATGAGAGATTTATAAACCAAAAGAGGAATACCCCGTGTAACACCTTGACAGACCTAAAGCTTTGAGAATTTTGCTCTTTAGGATGTTTCAGTAACGAATAGGCCAAAATTAGAGACAAAGATATTGGAAGATCTCTTTGCAGTTTGCTACTGATCTGTGTGGATTTTTGGGTTAAATCCAGCATTGCATTAAGTGCAAGAAAGGGGAACTTTTGTTGTTCAATTGTTTCAGACTGTGCTCCCACACACCCCAGTTATTATGCTCAAAGTAAGGAACTGTATCAAAAACATCTGATAGAACAAAAGTTCCCCAGTACTAGCAGAAATGGAACTCTCTTTTCACCCCGACTCCACCGCAAAGTCTGGGCTTCCCAGTTCCTCTAAAGTAGAATAAGGGCCTCCAGGGAAGAGATGAAATTGCCCTCACCCCCACCCTTCACTACGAGAAGCAGCTCAAGCAATGGAAAGGCATCACTGATTCCAATCCTCAGCCTTCCAACTGTTCAAGAAGCAGCAATAGTATTTACAACTTATACAGCTGAAATGGAGAATGAACAGAGCACGTAGAGAATGATTTTAGTAGGAGGACCATTTAGGTTTGGAACTCAAAGCAAGTTCCTTGCTTTGCAGTTCCTTGGCTTTTGCCAGCCATCTTTTCAAGCAAGCTCTCACTGGCTCATCCTAGAATTCAAGTAAGAAAACAAGATAGATCCTGATTTTTGCCCAATCATGCTTTGAGCAACCTATTTTTCTCTCAACATCGAAAAACAAAAAAAACAAAACACCACTTAAGAATCTGCTTGTGCTATTCACCCTAGTGCTGTTACCTGCTTGTTGCACAAGTTCGTGATACACAATGATGTCCCGAGCATCATATAGGTTGTTTACTACTGTTTTCAGTTCTGCTCCAGTAAACTTATTTGCACCATATACTGCTTCGTTTTCCCCATCAGTCCAGTAAACAGTGTCCTAGGAATCAAGGTGACATTTAAGATTGCAGACTTACTCCTGAGTATGCTACTGAATACCAAGTAGCACTTGACCAAGAGAATGAGTTCATCAAACCTCTGTAAGTAAACCAGTAAGGAGCGGCTGTCATCAGTTACTACCAGGCTTGCTGGCTCTTTTTCTACTCAAGCTAGGCTCACAGTTCATTACAATCTATAGCAGTTTTACACAGGGCTTGGAAGTAACTACTTGCAAACAATAACTTTTAATTCTTTTGTATGATATAATTTCAGTTACATCATATGTATGCTGTAACAAGGGATAATTTCATGCCTAGAGTGGTCTAGTCACCTAGAGTGGTCTTAATTGACTAGATAGGCGGGATATAAAATAAATAAATAAATAAATTATATAACCAGTTTTAATTACTGTTACAAGATACTGTGTTGCTTTAATAATAACAGCAACCGTAGTAGTAGTAGTAGTGGTAGTGGTAGTAGTAGCAGCAGCAGCAGCAGCAGCAGCAGCAGCAGTAGTAGTAGTCATTTCCTGAGACTGTGTAGCTTGAGGTCACAGGGGCTGGCTGTACTCCCATAGTGGGAAATCAAACTTCCAGCCTCTGGCATTACAAACAGCTCCCAACACACTGAGCTATCCAGCCAGCTGTTGCTTCACTACTTAGGAGTGTTTTGAATGCTTGCAGCATCCTGATTTTTAAAAATATATACAAAATTTTCACTATTTTAATTATCTTTGAATAATAAGATGGTAAGAAATTACTTTTAAAACTTAGTACCTATAAAAGTGGTACCAATTGTGTTTTAGTGGATAGAGTGACGGGTTAGGACCTAACACACCTAGGTTCAAATCTCCACTTGGTCATAGAAACTCACTGGAGGGTTTGCGTAATTGGTAAAAACCATTGAAATATCTCATTTACCTTCAAAGCCCTAATAGGGTTGCTATAAATTGGTTTTGATTTGACAGCACATAAACTACTACAACTACCTATAATAGTATTTATTTCAGGGGTCCTGGAACAGCAGTATTTTTTTAAAAAAAATTAAAAAGCAGTGTTCTAAGCTCTAATAATGCTGTTACTCTAAACTTAACCCATTAGGAACTTCAATTGTTACCTCAAATATTGTCAGACCAAGAGGATGAGCCAGGAATTCATGGGATTCTAACACAATTCTACGGTCTTGCCCATTCAGATCCACACTAGAAAGCTTATGAAGCTTAGAATCCACCCAGTAGAGACGGTTCTTCACAGGATCTGGAAAGAAATATTTCAGCACTGATGCCTTGAGTAAACCTTGGGCAAACACTTGCCTATTTGTTTGAATATACTTTAAGCTTGAATATCAAGGGGAGCTTTGAAGTAGAGTCCTTGGCTATGCAAGGACTAATGGAGGCCATCATCATAAAAGGCAGATTGAAAGTATCTTACCAATGCCAGAAAATATATGGCAAACAATGTCACTAAGCCATGACAGAGGCATGTCAAATACTCCAAAGCTAGGAACTGCCTTGATTTGGGGTGAGCGGGAAGTAATTGGTCTTGTTTTGTGTTCTGCCATGAGGCAGCTCATCTTGGAAGGCCATTTGCCCTCATACCCTTGTGGAACACATCCCAATTACACCAGTTAACACCAAGAATTCCTTAGAGAAGGAATTCCAGTGTGGTATGAAGAACATCAATGTACCTAGTGCAATCCCATTGGGCCTCTCAATATCTGTTGTCACAAGTTGCTGCCTGTCAAGTCCATTCATCCCTGCTTTTTCAATTTTGGCTGGTTCACCCCAATCAGACCAATACATGAAGCTGTAAGAGAAACCAGGTAAGAGCTGTCAGTCTACTCTATTGCCTCATTTTATGCATGCTTCTTCCTCAGCACTTGCACAACTACTGTTTGATTATTCTACCTTGAATGTCAGTTTATCCTCTGGCGACACTCATCTGACCATAATGCTAGGGGGCTTTTTGTATCATGTTACTACTATCTGCTTCCATCAAATGGTATTTGAAAAAAATTGGTCAACAAAAATCAGGCCTTTTGTCTCAAAGCTGTCCTGCTCCACAAATGTGTAATATACATCGATGTATTGTTTTGTAGCCATAGCTGTTATTTTGAAACTCATCTGAAATATGACAGCCTCCCTGATAGTTACTCTGACATTGGTCATTGGCAGTTCTCTCTATACGTCCTACCCATACCTTTTTGTCAACAGCTATGGTAAAAGGTTTTTGAAACAAGGTTGTTATTCTATTTCTAGTGCAGGGGTGGCCACGTGTGTCCACTCTCCCCAGATACTGCAGAAATGCAATTCCCAGCTGCTCCAGCTAGCATTATTAGTGACGAAAGTCATTAGGCGTCACAGCCCATCAGCTGCTACAAAGCCACACAGTGCCTATTGCTCGTCCCAGGATTTCTGAACTGGGTAGTCCTCCTCAGCTGCTCCCCAAAGTGACTCTCATTAACCGTCCCTCATATGATTTGGATTTACCCTTTCACTGGTGCAAGTACTGCTCTAACTCTACAAATTATGCAACTTGTGCAAGATGGTCCCACTACAGAAACTTGAAGTCACATAAACGTATAGCATTCAGATGTCTTCTGTTCATGTCCTTACCCAGAAAGGGGATCCACAGCAACTGAGGCTGGCTCCCTTAGGTTGGTGTTGAACAAGACCTTCCTTTTAGTGCCAGAAAGAGTAGCCACAGATATAGACTTAAGAGCAGAATCAGTCCAGTAGACATTCTTGTAAATCCAGTCAACAGCAATTCCTGCTGGATTCTGCACATTGTCTACAATACGGTGATGCTGTCCCGGTCTGTTATTTGAAATAAGTGAGGAACTGTGGAGAAAGATTTCATTACATGTAGTCTTCAACTGATCCATATTTGAGCACATTGTACCAATACTGAGGACCCAATCAGATTTGGTTCCAAAACCATCCTAGACTCAAAATTTTAACTCAGACAGTAATGGGAACCCTGTGGCTCTTCAGATCTTGGGCTATAATTCTCATCAGCCACAGCTAGCAAGCCAAGCGTGGGGAAAAATGCTAGTTACAGTCCAACTATACTTGGAGAATCATATGTTGCTCACTCCAGTCTACCCTGAAGTGTAGCTAACACTGAAGTATAGCTTTAGATACTACTAAATGACTAAACTCTTCTGAACTATGGCTTTAACCACCAAGCCTGCCAGCTAGAAAGTTTAGGCAGCTCTGTGCAACAAAGCACTTTAGCTGGGCTTCTATTCCAGAAACGGTTCTAGGTAAGAACATTGTTTACACACAGGCCTTTTTGTTTTGAGCATTCACCCCACTCATAAGAGCCGTAAAGGAAATTGGAAGAAAAAGGTGCTGACAGAACAAATTCATTACTGTCCATTTTTCAATTTAATGAAAGTCAATGTTAAAGGTTCAGCACAAGGCAGGATACTAATGAAATCAACTGTGAATGTTGCAAGAACCCACGACAGAAGTCCAGGCTACTGGTTCTTAATGGTTAGCAGTGCTTGCCAAGTATGTCATTTCACAAACAGCTAATTCAGACCATGCTTTAAAGTACCAGACATATTTTTTTAAACTGCCAATAAAAATGTGAGCTGTGCTCTTTGTCTGGAGCTGTGCAATTATATAAATATTTCATGTGAGCTGCACAGCCTACATCAACAGAGGTTGATTATATGTGCTTTGGTGAAGGGCCACAATAGATGCATATTGTTGTGTTCTAACCCAAATTCTGCTAAGCCAATTTGTTCTAGACAACCACACTTACCATGAAGCTTTTCATCTTTAAGTGCCAAGCATCTTTACATTTTCTAATTTGTTTTTAATTTTTTTAATTTTAATTGTTCAAATTGTTATTCAATTTAATTTAAAGCACTTCGTTATACTATGTTTATGTTTTATTGTGTTGTGAAGTGCCCAGAGTGACAACTGTTCAGAGGGATGGTATAAAAATTGAATAAATAAATAAGAAAATTCATAGCCCCTTTAGGAATAATGTATAGAGTCCACTTACCTGTGGATAGCATTTGGCCCAGCATCAGCCCAAACAATTGTATGGTCGGCCATGTCAGCATCCAGAGCCACAACATTTCTCAGGTCTCCTATCAGTTGGGTATAGTCTTGTCTTTCTATGGTAAACTGCCTGATGTTCCAGCGATTAGTGAAAAGAAGGCTTAGTTCTCCTTCTGCAAGAACAGGTGACTATAAAGCAAACAGACTGAATACTATATACCATGTCTTAAAATTGAGAGAGGAACAAGTTAATATATCCTTGGAAGCAAATTCCTTAGAAAGTAATTTCATATTGTTTCTAAGTTAGGGATATTCATTATAAAAACCCTTCTGTGGTTCTGACATGAGCAGCTCTTGTTAGGACTCAAGGATATTGTAGCCATAACTCTTAAGAGGTGCTGGCAATGTCATTCTATCTCCCAGAGTCAGGATCTGGGCCTTGAGAGCAACAGTTCTCTTATTCCCAATCAAGTTACTTACCAATTGCTTTGCATACTCCTGTTTGTGGATCCATTCGGTAGCCACGAATACATTCACACTTGTACCCCAGTTTTGTGTTGATGCAGATTTGACTGCAGATCCCAGGGTTCTGGCATTCATCAATATCTGGAAAAGAAAAGGCGCTTAGTACCGCATACTAATACAAAGCTGACTTTCTGTATTACCTTCTAGTCTAATATGGTTACCTCCACATGTTTTTCGGTCTATCAGCTGAAAGCCAGCAGGGCAATCACATTCATAGCCTATAGCCAAGTCTTTGCAGATATGAGAGCAACCTCCATTGTTCACCAAGCATTCATTTGTGTCTGGAAAAGAAAGGAGTTCTAAACATCACTTAATCCTTTCCAAGTTTGGTTGTACATTTGAGAGCATTGTTAACAGTTCTCCAGGAGATACTGCACAGATGTCTGCAAGAAAAGGGGAACCAGAGAGTTTTGAGGTTACAATATGACCCCTCCTCGTAAGTGCTATACCACTAAGCCTGAATAGTGTTATAAGTGGCAACCTATTAGCAGGCATGTGGAACATCTGTTGCTGTAGAATTTTCCACTAAGTAGTCTTGGTTCCCTGTTTCAACACATAAAGAAAAAATGCTGAATAGCAAAACTTGAAACAGATACTCTTATTTTTGCTATACTTGATGTAGAATGTGGTTCAACAATACTGATACTTCCCACCTAAATGAAAATGTATTTCTGCAAGAGTTACCAGCTGACCAGAACAACTACACAGATACAACCAGTTAAGAAACAGCTCTCTGCTGTCAGAAAGCCAACCTATTTTGATTACAACTTACTGCACTGCTTGAGGGGTTCATCACTCCAGTCTTTGCAGTCTTGTTTCTGATTGCACACTTTGTTGGAATCTATGCATTCTCCACTCCTGCACATGAATTTCCCAGGGCCTGTGCATTGATTACCTGGAGGTTGGAGAGATAAGAGAAGCTGTATTAATGGAATGATCCCACTGCAAAATGCCCTATTTTTTGCCTCAAGTGGTTAGCTGAATTGGTTTTTACGAGTTATGAACTCATCTTTCTCAGTTCTGAAGAAGGATGAAACAATGTGAAGCACTGATATTCATATGCCACAGCCGCACATGTCAATAAGTAAGCCTCACCCAGATGTCATCCTTTCAGGAAGGCCCCTAACAGAAAATGTTTAGAGCCACTACCAGATTCTCTAGGAAAAAGCACAAAATACACATCCTCTAAAGTCTCAGGTCACTAACACTTTTGTAGTGTTAATACTAATTACCTGCTTGGCAGTTGACTTCGTCAGAGCCATCTATGCAGTCCCGTACCCTATTGCACTGCCTGGTCCCATGAACGCAGTTGCCATCCTCACATCTGAACTGGTCAGGCCTGCACGTTCGAGAAGCTGGGAGAGGAAGAGATGTTTGTACAACTCAGCTTGTTGTTAATGAATAAGGAGCAACCATTTGTTCTCCAAAAGGCAACCCGGTTTGTTACTTACGGCAATTGATCTCATCACTCCCATCCTTGCAGTCAGTGTCTCCATCACAACGCCACTTCTTGTGGAAACATTCATCTCCTGAATCACACAACATTTCACTCTCTCCACACTTCACAGTGATGACAGGCTGGTGGCCACACTGATCTGGAGATTCATCTGACGAGTCGGTACAGTCAGCTTCATTATCACACACCCAGTTGAATGGGATACAGGTGTCACTTTCACTTTTGCACTGGAACTCACCCACTCGACAGGTAGGTGCCATACAGCCTACCTCATCACTACCATCGCTGCAGTCTTCTTGCCCATTGCAAGCAAAATCTTTTGAAATGCACTGCCCATTGGTACATGTGAATTCATCAGGACTACAAGTTATATTGGCTAAGGGAAGAAAGACAACAATTCACATAACAAGTGCTTTCCAAGAAATCACTGAAAAACATAAACAATGTATTGTAACACTACATCAAGATGATTAATTTCTACATCAACAGCATTGTAGTAAATGCTTTTATTTCCTTCTTTGAATGCTAAAGAGTATGGTTTAACAGTTAATTTATAATCCTTAGCTAGAACCTAAATTTATCTGGGATTTAATACTGTAGGTGGATTCTTAAATGAGGTACCGTTGTGAAAATTAAGCAATCACTAACTAGTGTGACTGGACCTGAATGCTATGGAATAACAGCTTCCTAAGGTGAAAAACTTCACTGGATCACTTCAGAGTGACCCCAAAGTTTTTATCTAGACAGCAACATTGTGCCCAAAATCTTTAACATACTATAAAATTGCAGTTTGGACAGAATCCCATGTAGTTCATGTAACCCATATTTCTCTTGGTCTAACCCAACCTTCACCAACAGGCATCTTCCCGGATTACAACTTGACTACATTGCTCAGCACTTCCATAGTGATCGGCCATGCTGGCAAGTGGGTAAACAGTGGGGTAGTCCAACACATCGGGAGGGAACCCACTTGTGAAGGCTAGCTTAAAATTAGCATATATCCAATATTAGCCACTGAAATTATTGGTGATAAGTCTATCTGCTTGAGACTACTTAGCATTTTTCAGTCTACTGATGAGAACTTGTCCAAGTCCTAATTCATGAAGTCACACAAACAGTCTGCAGAATCGGACACAACTGGATCTATGAAACTACAAGAATACTTTAAGGCCATTATCTTATGTGCACTCATGTGGATTCCCAATTCACATTTAGATGGCTGGATGTGGTGTAATTTAGAAACTCTTATTCAGATGTTCTAATTCACATCATGTAAACAAGAAGGGACAGTCAGGGTGAGTTCACTGCATCTGTCCTCCTATTTCTTGCAAGATACAGAGGAGAATTTTCTGAAAGAGACTCCTGTATGTATGGAGGCTCTTCCCATGATTTAAGATCTGGTTTAATTATAGTACGTAACAACTGTATCCTGTCATGTCAATTCTGGGTGATTGTGACCCTGTTCAGTGTTTTCTAGGTAAAGAGTACTTAGAAGTGGTTTGCCCTTCCCTTCTTCTGGAGAAACTGGAATTGTGCAGCTTGCCCAAGCCCACACCAGCTATCTTTTTTTAGATGCACAGTGCAGAATAAAACTCCTCACCTCTGGTTTTCAGCCAGAAAACTAACTCACTGAGCTATCCAGCAGCTAAAAACTAGTTTACTTAACCTAAATGAGAAGGCCTAGCTGAGTGATCTCTTCTGTCCTGAAGGAATGGCTTACCACAATCATCTTCATCTGTACCATCATCACAATCACTTTCACCATCACATTTCCAGGATGCTGGGATACAGCGACTTGATCGAGGACCACAGCTAATTTCACCTGCTATGCACATCCTTGTGTCTATCAAGAAGCAATCACGAGTTGAGTTAGAAATTGCTTCAATGTCCAAGTGTGAGTCTCTGAAGTTTCTAAGACAGTTTAGATAGTGCAGCTTGTTTGTTCAGAAAGCTTGTGTTGGTATTTTGTTAATTATTTATTTAAAATATTTTTACCCTGACTTTCTCCTCAAAAGGATCCAGGCAAGGTTAGTTTCAAGCTCTGCTCCATAATGTATGCTACTCTGTCATGAGAACTATTCACCAGAATGTCTGGCTACTCCTCCCTTGCTTCAGCGTATTAGCCAAGACTTTTTAGGATGCCTTGAGCAGGGAGATCACTAGAGCAAGAAGGTCATTTCATCATTTAATCTTTTAGGAACTTAGTGAGCTGTTTGAAATTTGTGATTTATATATTTAAGCCAACTTAAGAATTCACTTGAGCAAATAGTGCAGGGTATAGATCAAGAAAGAAATGGCACTTATGATCAAGCAGTGAATTCTGCTAGAGAGATGGCAATAATATTTATTTTATTTATCTAATTTATCTTTGAATAACCACTCCATATACAGTAGCACCTCGGTTTATGGACGCCTCAGTTAACATAATTTTCCGTTTACAAATGGAAATCCATTGAAAATAATGCCTGTTTACGATTTTTTTTTTCGCAGTACGAAGGAAGCTTCCCCAGGATGCATTGTGCCTGGAAGTAGCGCCCCACCCATTCCTAAGTCAAACCATGTTCTGGTTTACGAATTTTTCACATTACGTAACATCCCGGAAAACACATTACATTTGTAAACCGAGGTACTACTATAACCAGTGCTTCACACACATTTTAATAATGCCATAAAGACAAGATAATTAAACAATTATAAAAAGTTAATAAACAGGAAACAGGAACACAAGGTATCTTTCTAATATCAACAAGTGCTTAGGGAAAAAGCATTAATTTTTCTTTAAGTCAGCTAATGGCCAAATAGGAGGAAGTCAGCCTAACCTTCTTGCCGAGAGTTCAACACCCAGAACATTCCTACAAAAATGTCATCTGTTTCTCAACAATGTCCTTTCTCCAGGAAGTCGGGCATATGACAGGGCCTCAGGTGAAGAAACGTAAGCTCTCAGCAGTTACATATGGAAGGAGCTGGTCTTTCAGACAAGCTTTATAGGAAAGGGGTAGTGCCTTGAATTTGGACCTTGAATTAAGGAGGAAATTGGCAAAATCATTTCAAGACTGGTATTATGTGTCCATAAGACATATACTAGCTAGAAAAAATAGTCAGTTGCACCTGCACCAGGTGTAGAAAAAGATAATCTACATGAAAAGTTAAGATTATTTGGACAGAAATGCCCTCTACAAGGAAGCACATATCAGGCACACAAACTGAACCTGAAACACTTTTGGCCACTGCTGCTACTGAACCATGCAGAAGCAGCGCCGGATGCAAGGGCAACTCCAAGCTACACATCTGATACTTCAGTGGCTGTTTTACTTCTTACAGTTATTTATTGTGAAGCAAAGTTTGCAAATTAACACAGTAATTCATTTTGCATGTGGAATTCCAGGTATCCAAGGTTAACCTGAAAATGTAGGAGAACTGTTTCTGGATTAGGCATGTTTGCTTCATGAATTCAAACTGCTGTCTTACAGCTCACAGCTATATAAGAAATGCAAAGCATTGCATGTCCTTTGCACAGCTTCAAGCTTTACACAGGAAAGATTGTGCAGTCACCTTGAAGCACAAAAAGTAATGCTACTCACAACAAAGCTCTGAAAGTTCATCCGAACCATCTTCACAATCAGGATCCCCATCACAACTCCATCTGCTGGGTATGCACTGCCCATTCTGACACACAAAATCTGATGCAGAACAAGTCTTTTTCACTGCAAGAAATCAGACGTACATTGTCTTTGTTTGAAGTGCTTGAGGAAATTTGCAGGATGCTTTCACATGCTCTGCTTAATGCCTGTCACAATTTATACTCTCAGATATTATCACAGTACTCATAGCAATACATACTTGATAACACAACTGAAACAAAATATCTTTTAAAATTATATCATTTTAAATACCTATCACAGTGCTAAATTTGAGTCAAAGCATTTAAAACAACCTTGGGGGTTTATTTTTATTTTTACTAACTGCGATATATTTTTCCAACAGTCATATTGTAGGATTGAGATATAGTACAGTTTCAGTTGAGCCTTACCACACCAGAAAAAGAAAACAGTGAAGTACTAATACTAAACCTCAAGAATGAAATACAGTGGTGCCCTGCATGACGATAATTCGTTCCCCTGAAATCGCTGTAAGCGAAATCGTCGTCATGCGAAAAAAAATCCCCATTGGAATGCACTGAAAACTGGTTAATGCATTCCAATGGGAAAAATACCTGATCATCCTGCAAAGATCTTCCATAGGGCGGCCATTTTGCGATTGCTATCTTCCGAAGCATGGGTCCAAAAAACAGCGGGAAGCCATTTTTCAAGCCAACGATCAGCTGTAAAGATCGTCGTCTTGCGAATAAACAGTCCGCGATGCACGAACCAAATCATCGTGAAGAGAAAATCGGCCATTGGAAACATTGTTTTGCAATCGCTATAGCGATCGCAAAAAAGTCGTTGTCAAGCGATTTCGTCGTTTAGCAGGGTAAGCATTTAGCGGGGCACCACTGTATGCTGCATCTGTAGCAGAACCATCTGCCTAGGTGAACAACCACATACACAGCTGAACATTTAGCATCATTAATGCTTTTTTGATCTGTCCAATTGTAGAATTCACAGCATCTAATATGACACCCAATATATTTAGGTTTACATTTCAGTTCCCTCACATACAACACAGGCAAGCAAATGCCAGAGGGAAGATACATGAAACAAGTTTCTCAATGATGCTCAGTGTGTGAACCAGGCTTTGATGGGTATAGTGCCAACCTCTGACAGATTGTTTTAGATACACAGCTGGCAAAAACACTACAGTCACTTTGCTGCTTTAAAAGAATGAGTTTTCTAGCTAAGGTTTTACTACAAAAGTTCATAAAATAATCTTACTTGGCAACTGGACTGATGATATTGGAAGGCATAGGAACTGGCATACCTAAATCCATGCAGCAGCTTTCTCTCCTCTTGTGTGTTTTAGTTTTCTTCTTACCTCTACCATCACTGTCAAATCAAGAGCTCCAGAAACAAGGAGGGTGGCTGTGAACCTGGATCTCCTATTCCACCCCAAAGTGAGATTCTGAAATATCCTACAGTCCCCGAGTTGCAGTCTCAAGGATGCTAACAAGCTTGTCTAATTACAATATACTGAAAAGTAAACTGAAATCTGTGCCATTGGCTTCGATAAGTCAAGATTTACTGCCTTTCTGTCCCAACTGAGACAGAAAGGTGAGGCTGAACTAAAGTAAAGGAATGAGGAACAGTTCTGAATGTTGGCCTTAAGCATCAGAGAAATTCCACAAGTAGTCCTTTGTCTAACACCAAGATACAGAGATTGTGAATAACAGACTGATTCTCCCTTTATCTAGATGGATGCTTTGGTAAGCCCATTAAAATTAGAATCACTTTTTTCCCCACTCATTTTGTTCTCCATGGTTTGCTGTCAAATAAGCTCAGACATACCATATCAAAAGCAAGATGAAACATTTGCTAACCTACTTTATTACTCAAGAGACTGGTTCAGCAATCATGCAAGTCCTTACCGCAGTTTAGTTCATCACTGCCGTCTGAGCAGTCATGATCCCCATCACACCTCCACAGTGAAGTTATGCAGCGGCCGTTGTGACAATGGAACTGAGATTCATCACATGTTACTCTTGTCCCTTGAATTGAGAAATAAGCTGCTGTTAGTAAGTGGCAATTCTTCAAGACAGCATAACAGCAGATCAGACAAGTACTGTAGATTCTCATCTGGATTGTGCCTGCTTGTATCTAGTCTCAAGACTTGATATTGTAGCTTGCAGTAAGTTCAGGTGTCACACAACTCTTGGGCTCAGACAGCTAAAGTATTATCACTCTTTTGGAAACAGGAACTGGTTTCAGCTTATTCACTGCCTTGTCTGAGACTGATAAGAACAACTAACAAAGCCAAGGCTACCCACATAAACAAAGCCATTAAGATCAGCATGTTAAGGCAAACACCCACCACCACCAGGTAGCAATCTTGCCATTCAGTATTGCTCAGCTATGATCTCAGTGGCAGTTGGTGCAAACTCCCAGTTTCACTGAAGCGAGGGAACCTTTGGTTGGTTGCTCATTTTACTCATTTTTTAATTCTATGAAAAATAAAGTAATTTGTAGGTGAAGATGAATGAATAAAGTTTGCATAACTAGTCCATCTGATAAGGTTTCACATAACAGCTTCTCAAGCAAAAGAGTGAAGTATACTGAAGTGTATTCAAGAGAAGTATAGTATCTATATCAAAGGAAGTAATACTATTACAGATCTCTCCTAGAGCACTGTATACAGTTCTGGGCACCACAGTTTAAGAATGGCACCAAGAAGCTGGAAAGTGTCCATAGGAAGGTAATCAACAGGATGGTAAGAAGCTTGGAAACCAAACTCTCTCAAGGAGAGGTTGGGGGAACTTGCCTGGAGAAGATTGAGAGATACTGTAATATGATTGTGATCTTCAATATTTGAAGGGCTGTCATGTGGAAGATGGAGCAGGCTTATTTTTTTCAGCTCAAGAGAACTGAACCAGAAATAATGGATTCAAATTACAAGAAAGAAGATTTTGACTAAACAGTAGTAAGAATTTCCTAACGGTGAGAACCATTTGAAAACCAGAAGATTCAACTTATGTGATGCCAACAAGTAGAGAACATAGAGAGAACTGTCCAGCAAGCTTATAGTCTATGAAAGGACAAGGAATATTCTCGCTCCAATCTTTATACAATTCTAAAAAACATAATGAAGACATCATACTAGAAATAGGTTAATGGATGTCTAGCAAAACTCTCTTCCTGAAAGGACAAGATAAATACACCCTTGGAGAAGATGGGGAAAGTATCTGAGAACAAATCAATATTGAAGAAGGCACGCAAGTGACTGGATTCAATAGCTGATTAAGTTGCAGGGCAGGGAAAAGTAGCACTAGAGAAAAGAGGAAGCAGGACAATATTGCTCCTAGTTTTATTTTACTGCTGAAGCTGTTTGAGAGACTTATATTTCTTATCAACCACACTACTCAGAGCATGTGAACTACACTTACTTGTAGTGGGGACTGATGAAGGGAAATACAGTACATGATACTTGCTAGAGTTTCAAACACAGAGAAGCAGCAGGTTGATTTAAAATAGTGTTTCATGAGCCAAGATTAATCTTTTCTGTTGGCCAGATATTTTCATGGATTTTGAGACACAGTCTTGTTGGATGACTCTGCAATCTAACCCAAAGTTATAGCAAGGTCTGGCAGATTTCAAACTAGTGGGATCTACTCTGTTTTGCTTTTGGTTTTTACTAAAAACCATAAGATCCACCAATAGTGGTATTAAAACCCACTGGAATCAAGGTACCGGAATAAATCTGATCCCAGGCATTGATTTGAACAGAGCATCAAAACTGAACAGAATTTGTAGTCTTCTGGTAATCAGAATTTCTTATCAATGTACTGCAAATCGAGAAACCTATCTAGATCAGCCTGTTGTCCACCCCAGTTTATTCTAGATAGCTTCTCACTAAGATTTAAGAGTCTGGAAATATAAAAGAAAGCCAGGTCTCAACACACACCACAGGCAACAATGAAGAAAGCTGAGCAAAGCTAGAAATATAGTTACATAGCTTGCAAGGTTCTTCTGGGTACAAAACAGAAATATAAATTTAACTAGCTTTTGCCTCTGAATGTGCCTCCCAAATATATTGTCCAATTTAACTAAATATTTTGAGAATTAAGAGGTTATGGCAAGTTTCTGCTACTAAAGCAGGTAGTCACAGAATGTGAGCCAAGAGTTGTTGAAGGTTCACTGGAAGAGTGGGATACCTTAGACACAGCCTCTAGAACGAAGCATTGCTCATGAGCTACTTCAACTGTTATGGAATGTATCCTGGATTTCAGTAGTTAGTTTGAAATTGGTGAGTAACTTGCATAAGATGCTGCTTATTCTATGGTTCAAACAGGAATATTTCCTCCATCATTAAGAACCAGACACTCTAGGAAAACCTACTTGTGACAAACAAGAAAGAAAGAAAGAAAGAAAGAAAGAAAGAAAGGAAGAAAGAAAGAAAGAAAGAAAGAAAGAAAGAAAGAAAGAAAGAAAGAGGTTAAACTGCAATCTAGCATGTTAGCTACTACTTGTGGCTGATGAGCTATAAACAGGGACACAAGAAACTCATTATATTCAGCCCATCACAGTCAGTGTTGTGAGCATGACTGATGGCAGATCCTCATGGTTCTCCAAAGGGGTTCTTCCCCAGCACTGTTGGAAGACGGCAAGGACTGAACCTGGGATATTCTGCACACAAAGCATCTTCTCCACCATTCAGCTATGACTACAAGTTGGGGAAATTACCTTTTTCTGAACTGCAGCTACCGAATTCCTATAGCCAGCTGGCTGGGAAGAGTGTCCTGGAAGACACAGTCCACGAAGGAACTTTTTTTTGATCTCTGGCTACAGTTTCTTCCCACCATAGTTTAGATGTTTATACTAAAGTATCATTGGGTTCCATTTACCATGATGCAGAGCAGCTTCCTTTTGCTCATATCTTACATATACAGGGTTAGGAAGGCTGACTAGTGCATAAGGCAGCCTCTCCTAACCTGGTGGGTTACTGGACTACAACTCCCATCATCTCTAGCCAGCCATTGATGGGCAGAATGAAATAAAGCAAGCTGGTGCCTTGTCCTACAGCATTCTATTCATAACTTCTTTCTACCGGGAAGGGAAGGATTACCCTCCACCCCACTGCACTTCTCCCTTTCTTCCCTTGCTGAATTTGACTGAAAGTACAACAATATATTCTTCTCCAACTGCATACCATCAGGCTCATCTCTCTTTCAAGGCAATGAAACATGATAGGGACACTTTAAAGGCCAAGGAAGTGCAGCATGATGCAAGACTCTCCTAATATGTTGCATCATTTAGATGTTTGCTTTTGTCAACTCAAGGTTAGCAAAGCACATTTATACTTAGCCTGCACTAAAACAGCAAGTACTGTTCAAGTCAGCTCCTGCTAGAGCACCAGTGTAAGATCAGGCCTTTCTTGTACACTGGGTGCAGAGAAATAACATTCCTGAAATTTGTCAGATGGAGCATTTCCTGCTTAGATAGGATAGAAGATTTTGGAAAAGTAGAAAGTGGGGCAAGTCCTGACTGAAGATCCAAAGAGGCTAGGACAATTACATCAAGAAGAAATACCTCTTCCTACTGAGACTGGTTAACAACATTTTAAGATGAAGGTGTTGGCTGAAGATTAAACTGAAGTAGCTGAAGTGATAGACACTTCTTCCATGACCAGCATTCTGTATTATCTAGTCGATTGGTTGCACAGAACTGAAATTTAATGAAGAGACAAATAAGACTCTCAAGTTTCTAGAGGAATGTGTCTATCCATCCAGGGGAACACACTAACATCCTCAGCATAAGCACAATTGCTCTAAATGCCACTTTGTGTTCCGTTTGTTATCAATAAGAAGTTGATGTTATAAGATTTGGATCTGATGGATTGGACCAAAAGCCCTATCTAAACTAGAATTCTGACCCTAAAGTACTTCAACACCTATCTAGATGTCTACAGGAACACCATAACCACTACATAAACATATTAGCATCAGCTCACTTGGGACCTCAGAAACTGCAATTTAGAGGTCTATATACACCCCCATGCTGTATATGCTATATATCTCCCTCTAATAGTTAGCAGGCTTTGATAGCTGTGAATTTTTCCAACTTTCCTTTAAGGTCGCCCAAGCTGGTAAGTCCAAGCAAAGCTAAGACTAGGTCCTTAACATACTAGGTTAGAGTAAACAGCACTTGCTTTCTTAGAGAGCTGGTCATTTAACCAATTTTGAATATTCATAACCACAAAGGGAGATTTTTTGCTAATTGTGTGGAAACCCAAATTAACTTCACTGTTTCACAGCAGAGGGAGAAACCATTGTAATCAATTATCACAATGCAAAGTCATGAAGAAGACTGAGACAATGACTCCGAGTTTCTTGCTCTCAAACATGCCTATAGCCCCACATGGATCTGAATAGAAGTGTGCGGAAGTTTTGCTCCTCAGTGTGCCCAGAAAGTCAGAAGAAAAAGAATCCCAGAATCTTCTCCGGACCTTAAGAGAACAGGAAGGCTTGTTCATGAAGGGAGCCTGAGAAATCAGGAGAAGCCAATTTAGAAGGGGTGGAGAAAGAAAAGATACAGGTGTTTGGAGGACTGATCCTGGGAGAGAAAAGGTGTCCTTTTGGGTAGGGATTCAGTTTGCCTTTTGTGACAGGTTGTGATTAGTGGGGGGAAATATATGTTACATGGCATTTGGGGTGGTTCATTCTCAACCTCTGCCTTCTGCTTGGATTTGTGGGCAACTTACACATCTTTTCTGACAAGCCGTGCCCTCATGACACCCTTTTTGTAGTGGCACTCGCAACAGTTCCTCACATTTCAAAATGAATTCAAGGGACCAAAAAGCTTGGGGATTCCTGCCTCACAAAAAAGCATATATGGTAAAAAGTTTAAGATCTGTACTCTTCTGCTTTGGCTTTTCATATTTTAGACTGCAACAGAGTCTTCATCAAAACAATACCCTTTACCTCTGCACAGCAGGGTCATACTTTATAGGATCCAAATACACATTCTAAGCTATTATGGATGTTTTGTTCACTACAATATATTAAATTAATATTGCAAATGCAGTTTCAGGTCAATGGAAGTGTGTCTTTCAAGTGTTACTGGTAGTGTGGTAAGAATCACGGTGACTGTTTTAGCTGAGTTTGTACTGATCCAATCATGTTTAGGAGAGCAACTGAGATTGCCAGATATTTTAGGACATCACTACTGAGCTACACTGGGGACAGACTACACTCAAGCAACCATTACAAAGCCTCCTCACAGTAACCATGCCAGGAAGAAGAGTTACTGCCTTGGCATGAGTTTTGCTTCTCAAAGGGCTCCCTTTAAGAAGCTGAGGACCAAGTCAGACTTCCTGCAAGGATTGCAAAATCAGTCAAAATGGCTGTTTTGGCTACTTATCATAACTCCATGTTGCAGTCATAACTCTCAAGGCATATTAAGTGTCCAAATGAAATGTTTCATATAGTTAGAACAGAGCCTTAGGTGTAGTTCTCATTGCAAGAGTCAAGAATTTAGGTTCCAGGCTCAGACGAATTGTATTGTGGAGCAAAAGTTAAAGATTACATTCTTACTACTCAGCAGCGCTGGCTTGGGGACCAACGAGACCAGTCTAGCCAAGACAAACGGGACAGACTTCAGCATCAATTACTTTTGCAAGGAAGCCTTACACTACTGACACCGAGAGCTGTCTGGCAGGGGCCCACCAGGCATCAGTAGCCACTTCAAGGACTGGGCAGCTGATAAGACTCAACATACCATGAGCTCCTACTCTTTCCCACTTTCATGTTTATAGGTTTTAGGTAAGCGAGCCAAGGAGAGAAAAACAATAGTTTCAAGGGGTAGTTTTTCATTTTCACTACTGAAGCTCTTTTACCCTAATTATTATTTAGCACTCTTTACAGCTGCACTAGTTGGCTGGATAACGCAGTGAGTTAAAATCAGAGGTTGGGAGTTCATTTGCCCACTGAGTCTAAAACAGCCAACCTTTGGGGCCTTGGCCAAAGCCCCACAGTCCCAGAACAGCCCCAGAAGAAAGGAACAGTAAACCACTTCTGACTACATTCTACCCAGGAGACCTTGAAAGGGTTCCCCATAAATTAGAACTGATTTGGTGGCAATTTTTTTTTTATTTTCACCTACATTGCTTGAAGAGCACCACAGGTGCCAACTCAGACCCATAAGCAGACCAAAGCAGAGCTTACCTGAGATTAAACACAGGAGAATTGATTAAACTACAGAGTACCACAAACTCAAGGTCCCATTAGAGTCACCCCTATTTCTTTGGGGTAGCACCCGTTATCTCCTCTTAACAGCTGTGTTATCACTTTGGCACAGCAGAGAGCCAGACCTTCCTTTACATACCAGCCAAGCGCGTTCACCCCCCTCTGCTCCCAGAAAGTGAAAATCTCCTTCAGCGAGGGAGGCAACATCAGGAGCCCCCAGGTCGTAAAGCACCGCTCGGACCAAGAGCGCCGGCTCGTCGGGCCCTGAGCTGCCCGCAGCCGCCAAAGGACCCAGCCTCGGGCTGAAGGCGCCTCACAACTGCGCGGAAACAAAAGGAAGCCTCCCAGGCTCCCCTCGAGAGGGCCAGGTCTCCCTCTCGTCTCTCTCCCCACCCCCCACCCCGCTTTTATCTCTTCTCCATGCAGGGACACAGAAAAAGGAGGCTTTTCTCCCCGCCGTTTGGCGCTTCCTCCTGCTCCCGTCGACGCCAATAGCCTCGGGCTGAAGGCGCCTCACAACTGCGCGGAAACAAAAGGAAGCCTCCCAGGCTCCCCTCGAGAGGGCCAGGTCTCCCTCTCGTCTCTCTCCCCACCCCCCACCCCGCTTTTATCTCTTCTCCATGCAGGGACACAGAAAAAGGAGGCTTTTCTCCCCGCCGTTTGGCGCTTCCTCCTGCTCCCGTCGACGCCAATGTGGGGGATAAAAAAAGTGCCCCCGTTTGCACGCCATACCTTGAGAGGTGGAGGCAGAACGCACCGACAAAGGGGCCTCCTCAGCTACAGCTGTTCCCGCGTCGGTGACAGTTCCCGTTTTTAAGATAAGGGCGACTAGGACTGTTTTTATCGGCATTATAATTGCTACGATAACCGTAAGAGATGGCCTGGAGAGGAGAAGGCGCGCAGGGCTGCTCCCTTCCCTTCCCTGTCCGCCCCCCTCCTCGCCCCCCCTCCCCGGGAGCGCGTGAGGGAGCCGGAGCCACAGGCAACGCCGCGGGAGGAGAAAAGGCGCCCCGTCCCCGCTACTCACCGCGCGCCCCTCCTGCCAGGCAAGCCAAAGCGACCAGAAGAAGCCCGAGCCCCCGCCACGGGAACGTGCCCATCGCCTGGCGGCAGGAGCAGCTGCTCCGTCTCCTCCTACAAGTTAGCAGCATGAACCCGAGGAGAAACACGAATTATTGTGGGGGGGGAGGGGGTGTTTTCCTCTCCTTTACACCCCCCCTCCTGTTTTTGTTGCCCAGGCGAGAATGCCACCCGGAGCCTGGCAGGTTGGACGAAGGGGAGGCAATGCAGGCGGCCACGAAGAAAGCAGCTCCAAGAGGCAAAACGGGGAAGCAGAAGGCAGTGGGAAGGACGGAAATTCAGGACGCGTCGTGCAGGCAGGCAGGCAGGGGCGCGCGCGTGCTCGCTCACACCGGTGGTGAGGAGGAGGAGGAGGAAGACGCGAAGAACATGCACGAGGGGGGAGGGCAGCTCAGCCTCGCTCTTATACCCGCCGCCCAGCTCCAGTCCTCCTGCGTGTTGCTGCTGCCGGTGACTCAGGGGCGTCTGGGAGGGCGCTGGTTGGCTCGCGGGCGCCTCCAATCGCCGCCGCCTGCCCTAATTTCCTCCTCCGCGCAACCTGCAGCTGCAGAAGGTCGGCGACGCCGGACCCTCGTTGGGCCCGCCAGGCAAACCGCCCCGCGGTCCCCGCCCAGGTGGGGCTGAGGAGGCGCCCAGGTGAGCCTGCGCTCGGGGAACGGCCGGCTCAGCGGCCGCGGCTCCTCCTCCGCCCCCTCCGCGGTCAGTGACGACTGGCGTCTCGGGAGGGGGAGGCCGGAGAGCCCCGGCTTGGAGCCAAGCAGGTGGTGTGTCCACCTTCCGTCACCCGAGACGGCAAGGTCGGGGCCGTGACGTGACATTAGGCGGGTGCACTAGAGCTGGCTTAACGTCGCGGGTGTTTCCACACGCCTGCGGCTCTAAGAAAGGTTCAAACCCCATGAAACACGTCTACTGAGAACTAACGTCTAATCAAGCCCGTGAGATTCGCTTCCTGATAAATGTTGGCCAGGATTGCTGCAGGGTCGCACCAGCGTGGATGGCGCGCTCCTTCGGACGTGAGTTCAGGGGAGGCCACACTCCCGAGGTGCGTGAGGTCACACCGCTCCACGCCTGGGCTGCTCTGCACCGCTCCCACGTCTGGGATTTGCTCCTGAAACGAAGATTGTGACCTGCCGGGTGTTTGTTCGTTCGGAAGTCAAGTGCGGTTGCATTCAATGGAGCCTCCTCTCCGGTCAGTCCTGATTGGATAACAGCTGTTAAAAGACCCTGAAATTACTCTGCAATCGTGTGCCCGTTTACCTGAGAATAAGGCAATTGAGCTGAATGGGATGTAGAGTTGCTGTGAGAAATCCAGCCTCCTCCAGAATAAAAGGTCTCTTATACCAGTTGTTGTGACCTTAATTCTTTGAAGTGCAACCACCGTTTCTTAGTGTCTGCACTAGATCAGTCAATTTCAGATTAAATGCGATACAGGAAGCAATATAGGCTACTCCAAAGGAAATAAATACTAGGACAAATGAGATGTGCAACTGTTTCTTCTTTCTGTCCTGTATGTTTTTAATAGCTGCATGAGAGGCAAAAATTAACAGATACAGATTTTAGCATTCTGCTGCACCTGTTGGCATCTGCTGATCTTCTGAATGTAAAGCATGGTACTCTAAGCAGCTCCTCTGACTTTTCCAGTCAGTGAAATGGTAGAAACAAAGATTCTTGAGTGATTTATTAGTAATTTGTGATGCAGTGCAAGGGATGGTAATTACTTTAGTGCACTTATGTGACCTTTCTATGTCATATTAAATGCCTCAGGCCAAAAACATGTGGAAATAAATTTCCAATTGACTATAGTATATTTTCGTAGACTCACACTTTACCCTGCAACAACATTTGCTAGATTTGCACTATTATTGCAGCCTATTTAGTTTCATTTCTTATAATGTGATTTTAATGTGTTGCGAACAGCCTAGAGAGTGTGCGCACTCTGGGGCAGTGTACAAGCATGCATGCATGCATGCATGCATAAATACATACATACATACATACATAAATGAATGAATAAATGAATAAATAAAAAAAATGAATAAATGATACATACATAAATACATAAATAAATAAATGTTCATTCAGTTATTTTTCTGTGGTAACCATGTAATATGTGAAGACCACCATTATAGTGTAGTCGAGAGTGTTGGAGTAGGGCTCATGAGATCTGGGTTCAGATCCCCACTTTGCTGTGGAAACTTTGAGGCTATCCTGCTTTGGGAACAACATGAGAAGGCAGGATTCTCTGGACAGTACAGTAATACAGTACATACTGACAAAGGTGGAGGGCAGCGGGAAAAGAGGAAGACCAAATACGACATGGACTGACTCACTAAATTGAGTCCTCAGGTGTGAGTTTGGAAGAGCTGAGCAGCGCTGCTGGCAGGACATTTTGGATGTCTCTCATAGGGTCGCCATAAGTCAGAGGTGGATTGACGGCACATAACAACAACAATTCTACTTTGGCACTTCATTCACCTTTATGAGGGGGTGCTGATAAGTATTGAGCCTTTCCAAGAAAAAAAAATGAGCTAGGAAGCTGTAACTGCCACACTATTCTACATATTCCCCCAGGAAGACAATGCACTTGAGACATACGTCCTGCCCTACTATTCTACCCTGAAAATAAAATTCTTCCAACTGCTGGTGTAACCACCTCATTTGCAGCATTAGTTGCCTCCAGAACACTCCCAAATCATTGTCTCTTTAGGTGTTTTTTTGAATTTGGGGAACAGATAATAATCAGAAGGAGCTAGGTCAGGAGAATAGGGTGGATGGGGCATCACTTGAAAACCTAAGGAGGTTAGTTTTGTCATTGTTTCATCTGCAGTGTGTGACTAGGTGTTGTCATACAACAGGATGACACCTTTGGAGAGCTTTCCTCAACATTTTTCCTTGATGTTTTGCCTCAATTGCATCAATAAAGCGTAGTCTGTAAGATCTGAACAGGGTTGTTAATGATGAGACTGCTTGAAGGCTATTAATTCCTTAGAAGCAATTTGACAGCATATAACAAAATAAGTACTACAATCATTTAGAGGGGCTGCTGGTGGTAGACTAGTTATGCCCTTTTCTTTCACAAACCATGACCTTATCAGAGCCAACAGGTCACAAGCTAACATCTTCATAGACTTACTACTAATTACATGTGTGTCAGTTAACTTTGTCAGAGCCATCCATGCAATCCCGTACCCCATCACACTGCCTGGTCCTATGAACGCAGTTGCCATCCTCACATCTGGTCAGGCCTGCATGTTCGAGAAACTGGGAGAAGAAGAGATGGTTGAATACTTCAGCTTCTTGCTAATAAATAAGGAGCAACCATTTGTTCTCCCAAAGGCAAACTGGTCAGTTACTTACAGCAATTGATCTCATCACTTCCACCCTTGCAGTCAATGTCCCCATCACAAGGTCACTTCTCGTGGAAACATTCAACTCCTGCATTACACAGCATTTCATTCTCTCCACACTTCACAGTGAGGATGGGCCAGAAATAACCCTGCTTTAGTGATTTATCTTATGAGTCAGCACTGTTGGCTTGGTCATCATTCACCTAGTCAACTGGGATACATCTGTCACCCGCACTTCTGTGTCGGCAGTAACCCCTTGGACATCATCACTACCATGGTGACAGTCTTTTTGTTCAGTGCAAAGTCTTTCAAAATGCAATGCCTCTTGGGACATGTGAATTCCTCAGGACTACAATCTAAGGGAAAAGGAAGACTATCTAGCAGAATGCTTTCCAAGAAATTGCTGAAAAGCAAAAACACGGCACCTTTCTCCCTGTCCCACCAGCTTCACAGGTGTATTTGGTGGGGTCACAGGAGAGGGCCTGTTAAAACAGGAATTTTTTTCCACTCATTTTGTTCTCCATGGTTGGCTGTCAGCTAAATAAGCTCACACATACCATAACAGAAGCAAGGTGAAACATTTGCTAACCTACTTTATCACTCAGAGACTGGTTCAGAAATCATGCAAGATCATGAAGTATAAGGACATGCCACTGGAAGCCAAGACCAAGATGGTCCACCTTATTGTATTTCCAATTTATGTGTGAATATGAAAGCTGGACAGTCAAGGAAGCTGACAGGAAGAAATAACTGTTTGAAATGTGGTGCTGGAGGAGAGTTTTGTGGATACCCTGGACCAAAAGAAAGGCAAACAAGTAAATCATAGGTCAAATGCATCCTGAACTATCTCTGGAGGCAGAATTGTTGAAACTGAGGCTATCTTGCTTTGGGCACAACATAAGAAGGCAGGATTCTCTGGACAATACGCTAATGCTGACAAAGGTGGAGGGCAGCAGGAAAAGAGGAAGACCAAATACGAGATGGACTGATTCACTAAATTGAGTCCACAGGCATGAGTTTGCAAGAGCTGAGCAGGGCTGCTGGCAGGACATTTTGGAAGTCTCTCATAGGGTCACCATAAGTCAGAGGTGGATTGATGGCACATAATAACAACAATTCTACTTTTGCACTTCTTTTTACTTTACCAGGAGGTGTTTCAAGTCAGCCATGGAAGCTCACTTGGGGAGTGTAATTGGAAGAGCAGCTCCTTAAATATCTCGCAAAATATAAAAACCCTATTTAATTAATAGCATGCCACCAAGTTGATTCCCTTTCCAAGGTTTCCTAGGTATGAAGTATTCAGAAGTGTCCACCTGTTCCTTCTTCCACAGGTGCTCTGAGACCACTGTGCAGCTTGGCCAAGGCATGGATCTCTTCAAAATCTGAGGTTGCTGCTGGATTAATTGACAGTGACTGTAGCCCAGAGAGATCCTGCTCAGCCCAAACCATTTAAAGGCTGCATATAAGGGTTGCTAAACTTGAACACTGTGTAGCCAACTTAGGTGTATTTTCCCCCTCAAATGCTAAAACTTCCATACTTTATCCTTCCCTCCACCTTTTTCCTTTGATTCCTTTTCCTGGCTCTACAGAAGGCCGGGTACCCACTGAGGCATAATAATAGTAAAAACTTACATATTCAGTTATTTTTCTGCGGCAACCATGTAATATGTGAAGACCATCCTTACAGTGTAGTTGAGAGTGTTGGAGTAGGGCTCATGAGATCTGGGTTCTGATCCCCACTCAACTTTGGGAGGTGGTGGTGACAATGGTAAACTGCCCCTTGAACATTTCACATGCTTCAAAAACTCCATGAGGATCATAGTAAGGGAGAAGCAACTTGATGGCACATGACACACATGTGAAAGGCAGATAGTGAAGATCCCTAGAGACTCAGAAGACCAGATAGTGGTCATTCCCCAGCTCATAGGCATCCTTCAGTCTCGAGAGACTATGGTAACATGCTCTGTATGGAGGACTTGGAACAGTGTCTAGTGTTTTGATGCTGTACGCGAAGCTGGAGTGTCCTCTCCAGAGCACGAAGCCTGTGTAAAATAATGTGGAGGATAGGCTGTTACCCAACCAGCAAACCCCCCTCTCCACGTCACTGAAATAGTCCAGTGGAAAGGCAAGAGCCAATACAACTGGTTCCAGTGACGTTGCAGGAGTTGACAGAATGACACGAACTGCAGATTTAGAAATTTGCATTGTTTTACCATCAAGAACTTATCACCAGCTGTGGCTGTACTAAATGCTTAGTGGCATAAGTTTTCACGCTTTACATGTCCAGTGCCCAACACCTAGAGGGTGGCATCAGTGCAGGGGCCATGGAAACATTGCAGAGCGTGTGGTGCTCCTCTTATGTTCTCCTAATGGATCCCAAGAACTCTGTCACTGATGCTGCATACACCGGGAAACTTTAGGCTTCCCTTTCTCAGCCCCTGCATGCAGCACAGCAAACTACTGGGAGAAGGAAACACTTTAAAAAGCAGTTTGCTATGCAGTACAGGGCTTTTGTTGCTGTTTGGCAGAGAAGAAATCTCAGTTCCTGTGGGATGCATCCATGCACTCACCTAAGCGTATCAAAAGGAGCTTTTTAGATCTCACCTCTTATATTTAGTATAGATGAAAGCAGCCTCCAGTGACTTGCTGTCATCTAGATGTGTCAGATCACAATCCCCATCATCTACAGCAAGCAATGCTGCTGTGGTGATAAGTGCAGTATATCCGGAGGGCTCCAAGTTCAAGAGGGCTCAATTAGGATGCCTGGATTAGGTCCACTGAAACCAGTATTCTTGCACACAAGCAGGGTATAATCCATTAATTCCAGTGGTGGCAGTTCATTTAAAAATTAAATTAAATGCAAGAACATTTTTTTTTTGTGAATTGCTGCCATTTGCATATGAGGAAGTGTACCCGGCAAAACTATAATAGAAACTCCTAGTCTGCCAAAGATTTCCTTGACTGGCTGCTTGTTTTCTCCTTTGCCTTTCTATTTTATTGTTTTTGGCACACATACTGCTTGCCTTGAAAAACAAAAGTACACAAATGAAAGACCTTGTATTGAGATAATATAGTGTCTGTATGATTATGGGGTTGTATACAGTCATGTGAAAAAGAAAGTACGCTCTCTTTGAATTCTATGGTTTTATGTGTCAGGACATAATAAAAATCATCTAGTCCTTACCAGGTCTGAAAATTATAATCTCAGATAAATAACAACACATGACTTATTATACTGTGTCATGATTTAGTTTACAAAAAAAAAGCTACAATTGAGAGGTCATGCGTGAAAAACTAAGTATACCCTTACTGTTTACACAGGAATTAAGAGGCTAAGTAGCAGCCAGGTTCTAACTAACCAAATACCCTTGAATTATGGATCATCAGCAAGTGTGACCACCTCTATAAAAGTCAAAGTTTTAGCTGGTCTGGAGCATTCAGATGTGTGTTTACACAATGGCAAGGAGGAAACACATCAACAGTGATCATAGAGAAGCGATTATTGCTGTCCATCAATCTGGGAAGGGTTATAAGGCCATTTTCAAACAGTGTAAAATCAT